AACTCTGTCACATATCTGTAATAGGGGAGTTCACACACAAACACAATGACAGCACACAAAAAACAGCTGGAAATACCAGGGGCCTGGCACTTCGCCAAGCCACTCCTTACCTGGAATTACAGAAATAGTTTTCAAAGCTCTCAATACTCTGAAAGTTCGAAGAGCTGAAACATTGCCTAGGTTTACAAATTCTGTTACATACCTGTAGAATTAAACCACAGTTATTCAGAATTGAGGCAGAGCTTAGGCTACTTGCTGGGGGGTCTTTAATTAACACCTTGTCTCCCTTTGTTGCAATTGCCTTGTATTTACTAATATGCTTTCCTGACCTTCAAATTAAATAAGTCAATGCACCTATCACATTGTTTTTTATTCGTGAAAATTAATTTGGGAATTTGAAAAGTGTATTCATTTATTATAAGCAAGTGGCCAAACACGCTACTTTGCCTCTATAGCCCAGACTGCTTCTGACATGCTAAAAAAATAAATAACATGAATCATGGAGATTAGATTTATTGTTATAGAAACCTTTCAAAATACTTTTCCTTCTTGGATAAACTTTTCTCCTGGGATCACTCCCTATTAAATTCTTCAAAAGTGAAATAATCAGAACACAATGAAACACTTACGCGAATGTTATAACTGTGAAGTCCAACCAATTCCAGGGATCCCGGAGGAAAGTGAAATTTTCTAAACAGAAGCCCCTTGCAAGAATTTTTATTAGTGATTCAAAGGTATAAATCCCAGTGAACGTGTATCTGAGAAAAATTTCAGGACAAAAATTAAAGGAAAACCATTGTTAATTATAACAATTATATATACAACACTTTCAAAGGTACCAGTAAAAAATTAAAATGGAGACAATGCCAGAAATTTAAAATAGCAAACAATTCTGTTCCTGGGAATAAAGAAATGACCTGGTGATAATTCAAAAGGGAAAAAAGCAGATGGGAGCAACAGTTCCATTTTATGTTACATTTCAAACCAGAAGGAAGCTGCGAGGAATTAAAATAAAATATTCAAGGATATACATAAAAGCTATAGGGAAGTAAATATAACCTTGCAGATGATAGAAAATACATATATCTCCACCGGTGAGAATTATGCCAATGGAAGTACTTGAAATGAAGGTAGTGCACTGTAACTCACTGTATAGAACAGGGTGCCAAACTGGCAGGCTGTGGGCTGGATGCGTCACGCCCACCCCAGCTTCGTGAAGGGAATAAACATTGTGAATGTCATGTGACGCAACATGACACAGCGAGTTTGACATCCGTGGATTAGAACACGGGTGTCAAACTCAAGGCCCAGGGACCAGATCCAGTCCGTGGGGTACTTAGATATGGCCCACAGGGCCATCCTGGAAACAACAAACGACTGGCCTGCAATGATCTGCCAGGGAAAATGGAGCTTGGGAGTGCCGCATGTCCCGAGTTGTTTTTGATGGCAGAGGGTTGCAGGAGGCTGTGGCAGTTGAAAACAGCTCGGGAGCTCATTTTCACTGGCAGAGCACTCAGGCCACCACAGGTGCCCCCAACACAAGAGATGTTGAGCTGGCAACCCCCACCCTGGCCACTCCCACCCCCAAGGTCAAACACAACCCTGATACGGCCCTCAATGAAATCAACTTTGACACTCCTGGTATAGAACATTGGTCACGGTTTCAGGCCCAGTTTACATCACATTTTCCATGCCTAATCTTAAAGGGTAATAAATACTGTAATCTAGGACAGTTGGCATAATTTGTAAAAAACAATGTTATGAAACTCATTATTGAAGTTTGCTTGCCATTAGAATAAGTCACTTGATTACTGCATATAAAAACATGGTTTCTGGCTTGGTTAACATGTTGAATGGAAATAAAATTTGACTTACTCTACATTCTTCGTCCATTCTGGAGGATTACTCATGGTCATAAATACACAGTTGGTTAAAATAGTGCACATAATAAGCATGCTGAATAATGTATTAATAATTAAGGAAAACATACTGGAAAACACTTCATGAAAATTATCACATCCACAATGTATTTTGGCTTTATATATGGATTTTTACAAAATGAAAGATGGAAACAAGTTGTTACCTCTTTTATTAAAAGTAAAATCAGGTAGTTGCAGCAAGATGTTGGTGGCTAGTATAGCACCAGAATGCAAATAGGTTGACCAGGCCACAAACAAAAAGGATAGGCAACCAGGGAAGACCATTTTGATATGGAGGAAAAATCGTATTCATTTCAATATTCACTGGATTTTTATAGAGCTAACCTATGCTCTGTAAGACATTGATTAGTGAGCACTAATAATTCTGAACTATTAATGTTTCAAGGCTCAAATACAGTTTGATATTCAATATTCTATAAACTGATTTAAAGTTACATGTTATACTTTCCAAAGGCAACTTCATACTAGCCCTACCCATTTAAGGTAGTCCTGGTGGAATAATCAGATCAATTTTTTTTGTACTTTTAGGGAGAATGCAACTAACATTTGACTGGCTTCAAAACAGCTGTATGCTTATTAATGGAAGGCAGGGGTGGGTTCTGGCAGTCGTTACTGCCGGTTTGCACGTGGCCGTGTGCTGAGCGTGCATGCGCAGTGCAACAAAAATTGTTCTGTGCATGCACAGAAGCAAAAAACAAGATGGCACCGCCTATGGCACCGCAGGGAGAACTGGTTTGGGGGCGTGGCAGGCCTGGGTCACTGCCGATTCCAGCGACCCAGGCCCCCAAATCACTATCGGTTTGGCTGAACCGGTCTAAAGCGGTAGGAACCCGCCACTAATGGAAGGGCTTAAGAAAGTGGTGCTGTGGCCATGAGGGCTGCTTGTTTGAAAGCCTTGCTCAAAGGGAAGAAGAACAGCAATTCCAGGAGTATCTGCAAAGGATCAAAAAAAAGTAAAAAATAAAGTGGCCACGGACAGGTACCATATTTTTCGGAGTATAAGACACACCTTTTTCCCTCAAAAAAGAGGCTGAAAATCTGGGTGCGTCTTATACACTGAATACAGCATTTTCTGTCTCCCGAAACCCCAGCCCCTTCACCAAAATGACGTGCATAGCCTTTAGAAGGCTTATAGAGTGCTCCTGGGGACTGTGGAGGGCAGAAATGAGTGAAAAATGGGCCATTTTTTGCTCAATTCTGCCCCCCCCCAGCCCCCAGGAGCACTCTATAAGCCGCCTAAAGGCTATGCATGCCCTTTTTGTTTACAAAAAATGGGCCCATTTTTGCAAAAAAAAACATTTTTTGCTTGTTTTTTGGGGGCGGCACTCCCCAGGAGCACTTTACAAGCCTCCTAAACGCTATTCCTGCCCTTTAAAAAAAACCTGAAAAACGGGCCATTTTTGGGAGGTTTAGGTTTAGGCTTATTAGATTTATATGCTGCTCTTCTCCCAAGGACTCAGGGTGGCGTACAACATTAAAAGAAACACATAATACAAAAGTTAAAAAAAAAAAAAGAGAATCTCAAACCCAATTAAAATTGAGAATGACATTTTTTTTTAAAAAAATCGAATTAAAATTAACAATGATCAATAATTTATTTTGTTTTGTTCAGGCCAGGCTGACTTGCTGGAAAAGCCAACTTTTTAGGGCGCGTCGGAAGGACCAAAGGTCGGGGATTATATGAAGCTCCGGGGGCAGCTCATTCCAGAGGGAAGGAGCTCCCACAGAAGGCTCTCCCCCTGGGGGTAGCTAGCAGACACTGTCTGGCCGACGACACCGCTGAGGAGGCCAACTCTGTGAGATCGCACTGGACGATGGGAGGCTACTGGTGACAGTAGGTAGTCTCGCAGGGCCTAAGCCATGGAGCGCTTTAAAGGTCATAATTAGTACCTTGAATCGCACCCGGAAGACAACCGGCAACCAGTGTAAGCCGCCTAAAAGGTCTGCAAAGTGCAAAAACCTTTTTAACAAATTTGCCTCTTCAAAATCTTGGTGCGTCTTATACTCCGAAAAATACGGGTATTTAAAGCCCTACCTTCTTCTTTTATTGTCTGTTGTGTCACGTGTTAAAAAAAGGTTAGGATACTGATGGTTTGGCCATCATCTTGACTTTTTTGCTTTCCTTCTTGGGGTAATGGCTGAGTCATGCAAAGAATAATTCAAGGTTTGTGTTAGAATTCTTCCCTGTCACCATCTTAATAGGAAATGTTTTCTTGTATATGAGGCATTAAATGGCCACATGATGGCAGCATAAAACAAAACATGCTGAGAGCTGCTTTATTTGAAGGGCTGGGTAATATTAAATGTGCATTTCACCTTCCTAGTGGGTGCTCAGAACAGTATACAAGGGATTATTGGGATGAACTGCCAAAGTGGTAAAGGTTTTGATTTTTAGGATAAAAGGAGGCTTCTGCCAAGGAGTGTTCAAGAACCAGAGGCCTTTCCTGACAATTCATAGGGATGTAAAGAGTGGAACAGGTGCCCTCCTTCTTCTAATAAGAATCTTAACCTTTAGTTTTTTTATAAGATGTTTCCCTTTTAAGTCTGTTTCATTCCCCACACAGGTACAACCAAGTTGTTCATTAAGAATTTTCTAAAATGTAGTCTTTGAGGACCAGAATGTGGCGGTAAGGCTCAAAACAATATTTGTGAAAAAGAGCTCTCGAAAATCATAAAAATATGAATTCATCTGGAATTGTATACATATTTGTATACACTGGGAATAAGTAACACGGAATACATCAGACATTTTAAAATAGGTATATGTTTGTGCTGAAAACAATGGAATCTACTCACTCTCTGGAGCTGGTCCAGTGTATCACACATTCAAATAGGAAAAAAAATGACATACATAAATCGATAAAACTTGACTTTATGGATTTGATGTGCATAGGATTCCACTGCAAAGTACTGAGATTAGGAGTATAGAAACTGCAAAAACTGAAAGCTATGCTGCTTGACATGAGCATATGCTGTTCATTAATATTTTGTGTGGCCTAAAATTGGAGAGAAACTGCCTTGCACAACATCTTACAAACTTCACAGATGAATGGAGTAGTATAATTTTATTCTCCACATCACATTTGCTCTAATTTATCTAAGAACCAGTATTCAGAGTTCCCTTGTGATTTTCAAGATCAACTGAAATATAGATTCAGAATAATTACACCATATTAAAATTACATGAAAACATACCAGTGCTTTCTATCTGAAAAGGAATATTTTTAATTTTGTATAAAAAGGAAAACATAAAGATTTACTATTTGGACTTAAGTTTGTACTGAATGCTTGTACAACCTTTGTGCACATATATATACATATACATAAAGCAAACTTCAACTGTATCTTTTTTTTCATAGAAAAAGTCAAGCTGCAGTTGATAGCCTTGAGTCACAATGCAACGCTTTGAGAGATATTAGAATATACAGAACAAAACAACATGGAGCATCCTAGAACATTTTTGAACGTTCGTCATTTATGCAGTGGATAACAAGGAGACAGCCTCATGATTTATTGAATGAATACAGAATGCAGCATCTTACAAGTTATAGATGAGTTTCAATAGGCGTAACTTCTAGACTGCTCCAAATTTATATTTTTAACTGTCTGAAAATAACTGTGATCTAATAAATCAATTTATATATAGCATGGATCCCGAGAATTTAGTAGAAAATGCAGGGATATTTTTCAAGAGGCACAACTCAGTTCACGTGGAAATTTGATTTGTCTTGATATGTCTAATTAGAGCCCTAGGAATTTGAAATGGCTCTTCCAATATAAGCCAAATCTCCCATTTATCTCACTGCAGGGAAAGAATGATTGGCAGATGAATTAATTTTAAGAAAAGGTGCATATCCTTATTGATTTTACTGAGGAGCGTCTGATAACCATCTAAAAATCATAAGGTCAAGAGTCCAAATCATTGGTGTTTGGTCTAATAAAGCAAAATTCAAAAGCAGGATAAGAAAAATAGAGGCTGCAGACAAGAAATCATGGGGAAAAACAGAAGAAGAAAAAGGAAAGCTTTTTAACCTTTATTTTTTAAAGCTCCACTTTTCATGAATAGGTAGAGGGCAACATTGGCAGAAATGGGTAAATAAATAAAATAAAAAATAAACAAATGGGTAAGGGGCAAAAAGAGAAGATGAACAGGGCAAAGCAGGAAGTAAACAAACAAAAACCCCATGGTTTAAATAGTCAACTTACTGAAAATAGAAATAGCATTATTTCAATCATTATGAGATAAGAACTCGAAAAGGATATGAATGTACCAAAATCTTGATAGCTATTTTTCTAAGAGGGTTGAAAGGAGTTAACAGGTACACAGCAGACGTGGCACTGAATCGGAAAATTGCCTTCCCTCTATTCAATACTATAAATGTCTAGAAAAAAAGCAACAGAATTAATGGAGAAAATTGGATTCAGAACCTGCAAAATGAGTTCTGCATTGGTCTATCTATCATATATACAAAAGACATTATTAAAGTAGCAGTTACAAATATAGAAGGTAATTTATCTGTCCCCCCAATATAATTTTGTTCATTCATATCTATTTATGATTCGAAGTGGGCTCATCAACTAAGCAGATCCTTTTTTTAACATGGACCCAGACTTATGCAACCAGATAAAAATCTAAATATTGTAGATTAAATTCAGGAGCAAAACCTAGATTTTGACATCCTGAAAAAAGCTCTTTCCTTCTATTGTAGACTAGTTTCTCACCAGCTTCAGCATCAGTAACCCAGCAGTTTCCTCCCCCACCCCAACATCTTAATCTATTGAGATCAATGGATTAGACAAGTCCAGTAATGCTGCAGAGTTCTTCACTGCCCAATAAGGAAAGCTCATTAAAAACTTTTTTTAAATAATCAGGACATGAGTCTCAACAACTGAAAGGTATTGTATGCGTTCTTGTGAAGCTGCACTTGGTGCTATATATATCTATATATCTATATATCTATGTTGTATTTGTGCTGATAAATAAATAAAGGGAGACTAGTATAGATCTATTTCAAGCTATTTAGCTCTCATCAGCTAGCCATACCCTAATTACATATAGATATAGATATAGATATATCATCTATATCTATCTATCTATCTATCTATCTATCTATCTATCTATCTATCTATCTATCTATCTATCTATCTATATCATCTATATCTATCTATATATCTATCTAAATATCTATGTTGCATTTGTGCTGATAAATAAATAAAGGGAGACTAGTCTAGATCTATTTCAAGCTATTTAGCTCTCATCAGATAGCCATACCCTAATTACATATAGATATAGATATAGATATATCATCTATATCTATCTATCTATCTATCTATCTATCTATCTATCTATCTATCTATCTATCTATCTATCTATCTATATCATCTATATCTATCTATATATCTATCTAAATATCTATGTTGCATTTGTGCTGATAAATAAATAAAGGGAGACTAGTATAGATCTATTTCAAGCTATTTAGCTCTCATCAGATAGCCATACCCTAATTACATATAGATATAGATATAGATATATCATATCTATCTATCTATCTATCTATCTATCTATCTATCTATCTATCTATCTATCTATCATCTATATCTATCTATATATCTATCCAAATATCTATGTTGCATTTGTGCTGATAAATAAATAAAGGGAGACTAGTCTAGATCTATTTCAAGCTATTTAGCTCTCATCAGCTAGCCACACCCCTTACTGGGTCGACCTCCCCGTCGAGATCCGTACCCTCACCACCATCCAGACCTTCCGCGCAGCCCTCAAGACCTGGCTC